TTATGTGCTACACAAATCGGCTCTCTGATGTTTTGAGACAAATTCCTATATACACTTCGACGCAGAATTGAACGGGCTACATTTTTATAGTGTCGATTTTTTGAGACTCATTAACGATCAAGATATTTTGTGAAAATACTGGCAAAATGGGGCTATCGGGACCATGTGGAAAACAGTATGTGGACTTTTACAATTCGCATTAACCTTTGAGAGAAAAACCTTATATACAGTTTTGTAGAGTGAAGCGAGCTCTATCGATTGCTACATGGCCCGTGTTCCACAGTCATGAAATGCCGAAGAAAAAATCGAAATACAATGCTGACTCAATTTTTCTCATTTTTAGGGGTGCCAAATGGGGTGTGATCAGTAAATTACCTCTAGACAACCAACAACAATTGCTTCAGAACGTAATATTTTAGGTCTGAGTATAGTATGAGGTGAACTATCTTCCTATATGACTGAATTCAAAATCCGAAATCTACCATGTTTTCCGATATACGGAAAATCTTCGATTTTTTCGTGGAACGTCTCTTAAATTTCGAAAGCAAAATGTCGAAGGTAGAAAACCCTTGTAAATCCCAGATTCAATCGTTTTTAAAAGTTTGAATGAATAAATCATCATAAGGCACGCATGCACACAACACAAAAGTATGGGTGAGGGCGAAATCTCTGACCAAGGCGGAGTTGGATTTTCTGCATTGTGCTTTCGACATTTTTGCTTTCAACATTTTGCTTTTCGACATTTTCACTTTCGATATTTGATAACCAAATCGTTTTTACTTCGACAGCTGACATAGTTTTCTTAGAGGACGTTATTTTTTCCAATTTGGATCAATACAGCGCAACACATGAACAAGTATTCTTAGTTTACCAGCCAACGTTTTAGCACCTCCTTAATCTGAGTACTTGCATACAGTATTCTCGCACGTACTGACATCGTTTTTATCAGTATTTCAGTACTGATTCACTAATTTTCAACCATGCAGAAACACTGAGCCAAGCGCCTCGCAGGCCGTGTGCATCGATCTTCGATTAAACTTGTAAACCTAGAACATCACTACTGTGTCCAGTACTGATTAAGTACTGACTTGTTATTCTTGCGAACAGTACTGACGTGCATGTTTGTCGCAAGTACTAACGAAAACGGTGTCAGTACTACCGGTAGTGAGAAATCATGTACGTGTACTGGGGCTAGTACACTACTGATTTCCCAGTATTGATTCAGTACTGTATACAGTAATGTCACAAGTATTGACACAATAGCCGCCAGTATTTCAGTACTGTAAAATCAGTACGTGCACTAGGGTATCCTTTCAACCTAGGAAATAAGTTCTTTCTCTTCATCTTTTACATTTAACCGATCTTGAGCAGATCCTACTCCGCGAAAACCTTAATCGAACCCGATCCAACTCGTCTGTTACACATCACTTTACAGAAATATTGGTACACTTTGTCTTACCGCGAGAAACGTTTGCTGCTGACAAACATAATATTATTGATAGGATACCACAAACAAAACACCAGCAATTCATTCTTGATACGTGATGATAGTTCCTTATGTTGAGGCGTCGATTAGGTGTTGGAACGAAATAATGATGAAAACAGAAAAGAAAGGCGGCCTTAGACGGAGAACGATTTTAGAGTATTGTTTTTTCATTTTGTTGCTATTCGATTACATTGTTAAGCCTCAATTTGAAAAAGTGCCCATGCAGATAGGACAGCGTGTCAATACCGTTTCAATGCGTTGAGGCCAAAAGGAGGGGAAAATGCATCATAACCTGTTCGCTTGGGTTGACGAAGACGTCAACGTATTAAAACGGACCCGTGCCGATTTTAACTCGTTTCAACGCATTCAGCGAGCAAATTGTCCTATTGTACACATTTCAACGTCGAAACTTGTTCGTTGTGACGAGTTTGAAGACACCACCTGCATACGTTGAGCAGACTCTTGTTGAAACACGTTAATGATATGATTTCCATAGATAAATTCGTTTCAATGTTAGGATCACATGCATTTTACTTCGGTTGCAGAAAACACTACATTTATCACATCGAATCACGTTGAAACGCGCTGCATATGCGAAAAACGACCTGGATGTGTTTCGATTTCGTGCTGCGATCTTTCTCCAGATCACGTAACAACTCCCTAGTGCGAACTGTCATTCGTTTTCTGTTAGAAAATACCTTTCAGAGTGCAGGACTGCCCAATGCGGGGTTCAGCCCCAATCGTCGAAAATTTTCGTTTTCTCCCAGCGGTACGGAACGAATTCTCTTGCGTTCTGTCACATACCCCCCTCCCCCAACCAGGACCACCTCGCGCCAGTCCTGCCAGGGTGATAAACCCGTAAATGTTGGTATTATCAAAAAATATACAGCACTCCTTTGACAGGAGTGCTGTGTGTGAAAATATTATGAAATCTAGAGCAAAGAAATAGGGCCATCATCTTGTTTTCACAACTATATGAATAGTTATTGGGCAATATAGTGTCCGATTATGCCAAAATGACTAGGATGATAAATTTTTTCATAGACGTGTTCACTTATTCATTCTTACGCTCGCTCACAAATGGAAAAACTGGAAGACGAATGCCTATTTGACAAGAGATAGCAGATTCAAATCAACGTTAGTTCGAACAGCGAGCTTTCGTATGAACCTTCTATAATCCATCAAAGCGAAGCCTCGTCGAGGCGAAGCGAACCGAGGCAACAAAGACGTGCCTCGGTTCAGGCTCTATTACTTACACTATCGATCTGCCGATCGCTATTGACATACACTGAGGATCTCGAAGAAGGAGACTACCAATTGTGCCGATATTCATATCACTACCATAATATCATCACATTCTCTTCTGTTCTTCTCCCTGTCGTCTTCTCTCTATCATTATTTCTCTCTCCTACAATAAGTTCTTCGTACTTCGATCGTTTCTTTATTCGCTTCTTCGGCACCCGATGAATTCGTGAAGTTGCAATTTTTAACAGTGGGATAATCTGAGCATCTTGTTCATCAACGATCTGAAGGTTAATCTTCTATAGTGGACAAGGGATGACGAAGTTTTAATAAAGAGTAATATAGCAATAGAATGGAATTCCGACAAAAGTATTCGCCGAGCAGTGGCGTAGTCAGGAATTTTTGAGTAGTCGGCAGTTTTCCAGCCAAACTATTTTGAGAGGTAGGCAGCAATAGGCAATTGAAAAATCCACTAGGCAATAATTTTAAAAGACTTATTGCCATTATAAAAGTTGATGTTCACTGAAGAGAAATCCGACAACCCCAACTAACAGGCGAGTGAGTTCGCTTTCTTTGTGTTGTGTTTCACAGACGTACTCTTCAATTTTCAAATTCAAATACTTGATTATTTTATGTCAAAAAAGCAGAAATATGCGTAGAACAAAAAACTGCAGGAAAAAGCATAAATAGAATAGAAAGCAGTATAAATAAGCGCAAATAAATAACAATCAAAGGAACAAAAAAACAAAAAATAGTTATAACCCAAAATCCAATCGTCGCTGATTTTTCTGTACGAAGGGTGTGGGTGTGGGATGTGAGGCTCTCGTGGGGGGGGGGGGGGGGGTGGTTTTTTTCCCGGGCACTACCGGTTTTGGGTAGATGATCAGTATATTTAATCCCGGTCTGCAACGGGAACGAGAGATCTTACGTAAATAAAATAAATAATCATACTGACTTTGATTACGTTGATAATAAGATGAGTGAGTTGGGGATATATATATAGGTTTATTAATATGAATATATTCATAAATATATAATAATAACAATATAATGATGAAGAACAATACGAAAGGGGAAGAGATAAGGGAAGAGAAAAACAACTTGTGACCATCAGGAAGGAAAATCAACACCAACTGAAGAGAAAAACAACAAAAAGGATAATCACTGGAAAAGTCCAGAGAAGAATATATAGTGACCATTTAGAAAATGGAGGAAAATACAATAGAACATAACTGGAAAGTTAGTGGTAATAGAGCGATCTCTATTGACGCTAACATGGGGTGGGTGTGGGTGTGTGGGTGGGGGGTGGGGTGTGTGGAGTGAGCGTGTGTGTGGGTGTGGGTATGGATGTCGGTAAAGATAACATGAACTCACACCCACCCACAGCCACACCCCACACCCTTTTTGTATTTATAAATATTATATAATTATACAAAACTGCGTCCTATATATAGGACACCCGGACTCAAAGGGTTAAATGTAACATCTAAGTTATACTTCAAAATTTATTGTACTCAACTGGGGGTGTGGGTGTGGGTGTGGGTGTGGGTGTCGGTGTGTGGGTGTGGGCGTGGGTGTAGGTGTGGGTGTGGGTGTGGGTGTGGGTGTCGGTGTGTGGGTGTGGGTGTGGGTGTAGGTGTGGGTGTGGGTGTGGGTGTGGGTGTGGGTGTAGGTGTCGGTGTGCGTGTAGGTGTGGGTGTGGGTGTGGGGTGTGGGTGCGGGCGTGGGTATGGGTGTGAGTATGGGTGTGGGTGTGGGTGTGTGGATGTGGGTGTGTGGATGTGGGTGTAGGTGTGGGTTAAGAGAAGAATCATACCCACACCCACACCCACACCCAACACCCACACCCACATCCACACCCCATACCCACACCCACACCCACACCCACCCTCTTTTTTTCTTCTTTTAAAAATCGTTTGAAGGGTGGTAAGGTCTTCATTAACCTTTTGTTTATATATTTTCTTTTTAGTCGATCATCTCATCTGATGGCGTCATGTTAATCCACAATATCAATATGAGGGTTAAACTTTTTTCCTTTATTTGAGATTGAGTTGAGGAGAGGGGGAATGAGTTAGGGTAGGGTCTCTTGTATTGTGTCAGGTCTTTCGAATAGACTCTAAACATCAGCTAGGCACTGTCTCGATGTGCATCGCAACACGATCGGACCCCAGACTCACTGACACATGTCATCGGATGGATGCATGTTAATTATGTGAGTCTTCCCACGCGTCAATATAAATCAAAGAAAAATTGTTGTCGATGCGAATGCAATTTATTGACGAGGAAAAAATTGAATGCGATGATTATTGGAATCGACGACATAGAGATTTCCTTGTCCATCGAGGGTCAAACCACGGAGATATCGGAACTGATTTGCTCCTTCTCCATCGCCATTTCCACCTACAATAACAGTACCCTGTTTTGCTCCTTTAGGCCAACGCACCACTCTATAATTCGACGAATCTGCCACATAGATGGTACCCAGTGTATCGACAAAGAGTCCGGCAGGATGATACAATTGTGTCAGAGCATTCCCTTCACCTCGATCTCCAGCGACGACAATGCCTTCTTTTGCCCCTTTATTCCATTTCACTATACGATGATCGTCCCTATTTAACACGTAGACAGTCTGTTGTTGATCAACAAAGATGTAAGTCGGAAAGTTGAGTTGATTGAGATTAGCACCTTTGCGATTACCACCAGCCACAATAGTTCCATTCTTGTCTCCTAGTTGATATCGTCTTACTTCGTGTTTTTCGGTATCAGAGACATAGAGATATCTCTGATCATCCATGAACAATCCACGACACCAGATGTTGTCGATGAGGACTTCTCCTTGAGTTGTGCTACTACGACGAGACCATCGTACGACTCGTTTATTCCATCGATCGCAGATAATCACACTATCAGTCTCTTTGTCGATCAGCACATCGGTTGGATGATTCAATTGATCCAATCGATTTCCTTCGCCTTTACCACCAGCTACAGTTTGTCCATTCTTATCGCCCATCTTCCATTGGATGATACGATGATTCACGGAGTCAGCAATGGTCATCGTTTGATCATCATCAACGAAGAGACCGTAAGGATAGTAGAACTGATTTGTAGCACTGCCATATCCATTCCCTCCAGCAACCGTCTTTCCATTCTGTGACCATAGAGCATCGATTGGAATATTAGGAATAACTACAATGAACAAAGAAAAAGAATCATCATTGTCGAAGAGATATTTGTCTTTCATATACGAGAAAGTCTTTCTGTATTCAAATCTTAAAAAAGGACTTTCTAAGAATTCTTTCCATGTCGACAATTATTTCTAATATCTGAAATACTTTTCAAGAAAAAAAGCATTTTTAGAAATGGTTTTAAACTGTTTTACACGAAACTCTAGGAAGATTATTTAATTGGTTTGCTCTGAGAAAATTATTATGCTAATTTATTACTATTTATTTTGTATTAGAACATTATATAAAATTCTGCTTTTTGAAGATGTTTTTACTTGTTTTAGATAATAGTGATATGTTTTCAGAATAGGTTTTTTTCTATTACAGATAATAATGATAAAAGATAGGTATCAATTGTAGTTTTTTATCTGTCATATATGATATTAACTAAATCAAATCAACATAAAATATTGACTTTTTTGAATTTGTATACTATAAGAATAATTTTCTGGCTTGTACCCAACGAAAAATGGAACAAAGAAAGGAGAAGAAAAATAAAAACAAATAATAAAATATATAAGTCTACATAGTAATCTTATGTTTCTAGAGTAATTTTGTTATTTGAGATAGTAATAATAAAAGTTAAATATCAATCGTTTTGTTTTTCGACCTAGAGTTTTATAGATAAAAAATTACATTTCGTTCTTATCATAGAAGAACATAATGTAGATCTTCTCTGTTCTTAATTGATGATGGCTAGTCCCTTCTGTTCTTAAACATACTTCAGACCTTTTTAATTCAATCAGTTTTACGATGAAAACGAGTGTTTAAAGAACGGAATTAAGCTGATTATCTAATTTGTTTTCGTCCTTTCCTCTACTGATTGAATAGAAAATTTTCATTTTCATTTCTTATCTTTATATATTCAATAAAATTGAAAATCCTAATTTTCATATTTTTTCATTATTTTACATTTGTTTGATATTGCCCAGTGAAAAATATTCGACAAAATAATGGAAATGAGGACGTTTATCCAAACATGGAAAGCAATCTTCGTCTTGAAGAATGTGTTTTATAATTTGATGAATGCGTTTCTGCGTACAAGGACATGTTTCAAATTTTAAAGCATGGATTCTCTTCCATTTAGTGCTATCAATAGAAAGCTTTTCTCTTGATTCAGTATCATGCTTCATTTCAATGAAAGTGATCTGAACCCTTCCCTAGACTATTGAAATGATTTCTGTTCTTTCTATATTCGAAAGATAGGGGACATATTCCATTACAATATCATTAATTTCTTTTATGTTCTCTAAAGAAATGTCTTAAGAATGGATTCTTCAAACTGATCAACATTCTTTAGATGATCTAACATCATTCTTAGAAAGAAAGAAAGAAAGTTGTTCTTTTTCATTCTCCAAAATACATAATGATGCCTGATGGATTCAGAAATCAATTTTTAAATAACAGAATACGTTCTTATCTGTTTCAAATGTTCCATAACAATATTTTGTTGTAATGAGAATGAATACTGTTTAACTAAGATTACGTTCTTCAATGTTCTTAAATGGATACAATTTTTTGCTGTCGTCGTTTTTGGCTAAATATTGATCACCACAATTTTGGGGAAGATAAATTTATATTAGAAAAAAAATATTAAATCAAAATAAATTTTAAAAAATAGCATTAAAAATGAATTCAGGTTAATCCACAAGATGTTCAAATGCGTAACTTTATTTAAAAGTATGAACGAACTCTTAAATGATTATTTTTATGTTCTATCATTATTATCTATCTACGACGGACGAAATTAACGCAACACGTATTTTTCATAGATATTTTCATTAATGGTCAAGCACGAAAAACCTATGTCGTAACAAAGTTCGACTTTTTGCAATTCTTACCTTTCTGTAGAGGCTCATTTGCTGCGTCAAGCATTGCCTGCCATCGTGGTTTGTCAGAGAAAATCAACTGAATCAAATTTCCATCATTAAGCAATAATTGCAGCTGCGACTTGTCATTATCGGTCACGTAACTATTATAAAACTCCAAATGAGTCAAAGCATTGCATTCTCTGGAAGTATGGAGAAGTGCTTCAATGAGTTCATGTGATATAATTGATGCAGATATACAGAGGCATGATATAAATTTATCATTTCTCAACGCCTCTATCAAACAATTTTCTTTTCGATTCCATGGTTGTATATCTTGCACGTGCAGACTGAGATATTTGATTGATTTATGGATTCTTAATATGTCGAAAAGATTAATAAGAAAAAATTCGTCTTCAAAACCAGTATGATCCATTAGATCGATTTCATCAAGTGTGGTATTTTTCTTCAACATTTCGCAGAAATGAGATAATGTTGAAGGAACACGCAATGAATGAATGAGTTTTAGTTGACGCATTGCATTTGTTTTGAGAGTAAATATAGTATTGAGGAGATCAATGTTGTTACAATACTCCGCAATCAGTCCTGTCACAATTCTGTTCCTCTCAAGACACCGCTGAAGATCATGCTCATGTCCCAGAAAGTCGCATGCCGAAAAATCCAACTTTCGGTGTTTCTTGTTTTGTAACAAAAGATGAGTAAGTATTCGTGCATTTCCATCTTGATATGTGCCGCGGAAACGAACTTTCAATACTTGATTATTGAACTCTATGGCCATATAGTTACAGGTAAATTCTGGTAGCAAAATAGATTTGTTAATATCAACAGTGATCATATTGAGACAACGAATCGAAGAATGGTTAGTGACGATATCAAGCAGAATGTCGAGAGCATTCTTAGAGAACGAGCATTTTTGAAATGTCAACTTCACAATATTGGAACCTTTTGTGAGGGCATCACACAGCATGTGAACGTTTTTGCTGTTATATTTCATTTCAGTTACGAGTGCTTCGTTAGTCTTTTCATTGAATTGACATCCTGCCGCTACAAAATCACGAATATATTTATAGATTTCATTACTAAAGGTAATAATTTCGAATTTTTTTTAACATCCAGAAAACGTAATTCTCTACAATGGCTGCTTGAAATCAATTTTCGAAACAACTTTTACTATCAATGAGTTCTAAATATGTTTCAAGCTCATGTAGCTTTCAACTATGAAGTAGTATTGATAGAAATGAAATAAAAAATAAAAACAACTAATTTGTAAACAAGGATAGTGCTTGCCAACTCTAATTTGATCAATTTATGACATCCTGACCGTTATCGAACTTAGAGATTGACTCGGTTCGATTCTCTCTAACCCAAGTTTAGTCAAACGAAAAAAAGATTTTTTTTAAAGCCTTCATTAATGATAATCAAAGTTGGTGATTCTTTTTGAAATTCTACTCCTCTGTCTTCTTTCGAATAGTTCTCGTTTAAAATTCTACTCCTATGATAAAAGACTACAAATGAAAAGATGTCAACAAGAAGTGATCTCTTCAATATCATCGAAGAATCTTCATTACGTATGTAATTATTTATTTATATTTCTAACTTAGAAAAACTATTTCAAATCTTTCAAAGTGTCGCCACTATGCTAGCAACTATTTCAACATTTGGCATTTGACAAAACAATCTAATAGGAAAACTGATCTGAAATATTCATTCTCGCAAACCTAGCAGTACAATCAGTATCTTCTAATGTTAGCCGTCTGACGTTATTATTTATATATGTATAAATAAATCTATCGCCTTTTACTGACTATTTTTTTTATTTTATGTAAAGTAGAAGGAATATTATTATTACATTAAACTGTCTTTAAGGAATGTAATTAGTTTGTTAATATTCTGATTTTCTCTTGAACAAAGTAGAACAAGAAACAACAGGAATAGTTTTATTGTTACTTATAAAATCTTTTTTAGTCAACGCCTTCCTTATGCAACTTAGAACCTACTAGATACCATCCTTTATACTTCGTTTCAATTCAATTATCTTTTTCTTTTACGTATGCTTAATTGTCAAAGTAAATTATAGTGCTACTTTAAGAAAATATTGGAATTTTCAGAAATTAGAAAGAAAAGTTTATATAGAATGTTCCTAATCATAAAGCATATTATCGTCCGCTCTAAAAGTTTGTCAAAGTTGGCGAAAAAACATCAATTATATCACAAATAAATTATCGCAACAAGAATAAGAACTAATTATTGTACAAATGTTGTAGAAATTATATCAGATCTACTCAGGTCAAAGGCTCCCGTGACCCGGAATCCAATCCGGATTTCACCGAAGTTTGTCGGAATCCGACGAAAACCGATAGGACTCGTTCAAAACTTACTCGTATCCAGTCGGATTGCGGGTCACGGGATTTTCGGTTACTTCTGATAGGATCCTGTCGGTATTAAGACCATCCGAAGGATCTGATGGCTTAGCTTCGTCCTGAGTAGTTCTTCTTTTGTTAGTTGATTTAAAACAAATTCAACACTACATAGTTTTGTAGTAATATTGGGTGTTGATGTACTGATCTGAATCGAAGTATGAAACTGAACAATAAATCAATCATACAGCACAAAATGACGAGTGTTTAAAACCAAATTAAGCCTTGAAAGTGAAAAACAGCTCTAGCTGTTTAAATATATAATATGAATAAAATAATGAGAAGGAACCATCAGGTTATTATTATTCAATAGATATCAATGAACAGAACGAGATGATGAAAAAAAAATATTTACGACAATTGTAACTGATACTTCAACATTCTTTCGATATGAATGAATCTTCAGCAGATACGTTTTGTTTGACTTAAAACTTGACAAAAAAATCTAGACGCCAAGCTATCTACATCTTATTAGCATAGTTTTCCAAAACTACATGGCAGTGGGGCATGATAAAGCACTGAATCCTATTCCTATTTATCGATATAGCTTATTATTACGTAAGAACAGCTTGAATTCATTTCGCACTAATGTCATAGTGTGAAAATATTAAAAGAAGGAAAAAAACATCACTGCTAGTGTGAGAAATTGTCTAGAGATAATCGTCAGAGAAGATGATTATCAATGATTCTGTCGATTCAGTTCTAACCATCGACTATTTCGAACATATACCACAGTTTCTCAGTACGAAAAAATCACAACCCTTCGATGAGATCGTTAATGACTTTTTATGAGCTTCATTATTCTCAATTTTTGAAATTGCACTTTTAAAAATGAAATATTAGTTTGTATATGGAATGTCTGTCTCTATATAATAGGCTTGATTTCGATAAAGTTACTAATAAGATTGCTTACCTGCTAAATCACTTTTTTGTTGTAGTGCAACAGCTTTACGACGCCATTCCATACTCTTCTCAAAGTCACCTGCTTGTGACGTGACTTTACCAAGATCCTGATATAACTCAAAAAGTAAAGGATCATTGAGTGGAAGTTGCTCTAAGGAGCGTATAAAATATTTTTCAGCCAAATCAAATTTACTCATCTCGGATAGTAGTCTTCCTAATGTTCGAAGATCTACTGTTTCACTTCCATATTGCTGTTTTATATGCATAAGAACGTGTTTTAATTCATGTTCATTATCACTACATAAAATCATTCGGATAATCCATAATTGACTGTTGCCAGGGCGATGGATACTTTTCAGACGAAAAATAGAACCAAGCATGAAAAGTATTTCTGATTCTCTGGGAAATTGACTAAACGGGCTGATATCAGCAAATGGTTTTGTAGTAGCCATTGTAGGATCAGCATCGATTTCAAATAATACCAGTTCTAAATTGTCTTTAGCATTAGAAGTCTTGAGGAATGCAAGAGCTCTCTGTTTATCCGTACTAGTGGAAAAAAATGAGTTCACTGATATAAACTGATCGAGACATTCTTTCAACGTTTTCAATTCATCATGTGACATCATCTGACCTCGATAAACTTGTAGAGGATATTTAACTTGATTGAATTTCAATTGATAATGTATATTTGAAATTATTTCACGAAATAAAAAGATTAAATGAATATCTTGCTTACTTAGAGCAGCATTGAGAGTTTTGTAGAAGAATGACTCTCTTGTATACCACCACAAAGCTCGGTTAGATGAATAACTATTTTCAAATTCCTTAATGCGGCTCAATTCCAAATCATTATCTTTATATTTCTGTTTACAAAGATCAATAAGCTCTTCTTTATCTGCTTTATTGGATTGTAGCCGCTGAAGACAATCAATCAAAACTTGAAAGAAAACAAACTGACCATTCACACCCATTGTTGATGTACCCATTGCTGATGTACTTGCATTAGCATCTGTAGTAAAAATATTAATTGACAATGGTTCTTCTACGGTTTTCTGCAGTCTGTAATCAGTTTCAATTCGAGAGATAAGCTCATCAAGCTCAACGATAATTGCTTTTACCTATAAAATTAAAAAAAAGTCATAAAACGAAATCAAAATCCTTCATATTGATTTTACTTTTTCAAAATTGCCAGCCCATTGTTCATTACTTCTTTTGTCCATGCAGTATACATAAATTGATATAACTTGTCGAAGTTTATGAATAGAAGGAACTATTTCTCGTCCTAACCGACCACTAACGATCATTATGAGCCGAGTCTTTTGTGATTGTTTTTCAATATATTCTTGGCATTGTTTTACATCTTCAAATTTCATAAAACAATTAACGATAGAACGCAATCTTTGTTCTGCATTTCGATTCTCTTCAAGAATTGTATTGCCATCGAGCCAAATAAGAGAAAAAATATCGAGATGCTGATTTTTGGTGTCCGCCTGAAGGTCATCAGTTGATGAAACAGGAGTTGCCATATAAATCAAGGAAACTAAATGCAACAAAAGTTTTAACTGTTATTCATTCGAATGAGTTAATCAGTTAGTTAATGTCATCGAATCACTATCTAACACACTAAGATGAATCGACATTATTTGTATCTCTTTCGTTTATCAATAAAATAGAGTTGTAAACCAGAGGATGTCATTTCTCAGTAGTTTCACTACTATCAATTGGTAAAATATAGAATTTTAATATCAATCGGTATAAATCATATCTTTACTTTCTCCTTTCGAAAATTACTGCAACAAACCCAGTTGAATTTATAGGATCTATGCGTTTTTGTTTCCGATGAAAAACAATATTATTAAACAATTCTGAAAGAAATGATAAGTCCAACGTTGTTACGAAAAATTCTGATCTTTGTTTAACTTTTCAAATGTACAATATAGAAATTTGCATTGTAATATTCATTTTGCTGCAACTCAACATTTGACTAAAGGTGTTAGCTTTTTAATTCAAGACGATACAAACGAATAAAACGATTTCTTCATTTGCTGTACACCTTATTGAACAAATATATTATTTTCCTAAATTGCTGTTAATCTCTTTTGAGAAAATAACTATTCAGAAGAGCAGTAAATCCTTTTAGATGACATTCTTTGTGATAGTCCAAAAAAAACAGGTATCAGAGTAGTTCTACATCATTTCATCATGAAGAGTTTAAAGATGTTTTGCTATTTCTAAACTTCATTTTGCTCAAGAATGTGGATGGAAGCAAGAAATACATTCACACTACAAACACCATTTTACGGTTGACTAAGTTTGAAAATGGATTTTCATATTGTTTCCAAATAAAATTGTTAATAAATACAATAACTGATGATATATTATAGACATGGTGAATGAAAGATCATCTGAACGATCTTGAGCAAAATTATGTCGATTGAATTTATTTAGTTCTAATGTAATTCCATTGTCGGATTAAAAATAACTCGTCAGTTTCTTCAAACATATTAATTCCAAATTTTCTCAAATATATCTATATCATGAGAAAAAAAATCAAAAAATTTTCATTCTTACTTTTCCTAAATGATACATTTATTTGATATGGTTTAGATCAATACTATATTAATATTTATAAATGATTAGCTTTTGAATGTATTAATATGGAACAACACTTATGTCACTACTTTCCGATTGACTAAAAGCTGCATTCATCCTTATTTTTTCACCTGTCGCTAATAATGAAAATTTAACAACTCAACTGATATTATATATGATAAAATAGCATGCGATTCTTGTCAAAGTACTACCTCACCTAATTTAAGTACTACTGTCACATCTAGCAGTTCTGTATAATCACAGGATGCATTATTGGATTCTGTTACTATTGAAGCGTTCTTGTTTGCAGTCTAGACTTTTAGAATAAATTCAAATTTTTACGACCTCAGTTCTCAAAAAAAAACCTTTTCAGATGATTTTGAGTTCGCATATTAGTTAATTGAATATGAATTTCTATATCGAGAGATTTTTCGTATATAAATATTTTCATAGATGATCAAATTTGAATTATTTATCGTTCGAACACAACAGGTACAAGTTGATATTTGATGTGCAACCATCAAATACCAATTGTATTAGCAATAGCTTTAAATCCTTTGATGTAATGATCTCACTAGCAAACCGGCAAAGTTATGAAAAATTTGAAAAATCACAGAACAAAATATTGAACGAGTTTGTGATCCTTATTACAATGAACCATTTTCAAATTTCTAAGCATTTTAAATAGTCTACTTTATAACACGAATTATAGCAGACAAAAATGGTAACTGAATGCTTCCTCATTCGGTCATAAAGTAAGAAATCACTTAATTTTGTTAGCATTGTGAAACTGAAATGAATTGAATGACACGAATTACTTCATTCATAATTATTTTCATTAATTTAATAGCAATTTTCTCTTTTTTGTTTCTATTATACTGCATCGTTACTACAGTGTTTTTTTACAAAAGTGATTTTCGTAATTTAACATCTAACACTTTCAAATATTTGTAATTCAAAACGAAGGTTGATGTCATATAGTATGATGAAAAAAGATGTCAAACACAACAGATTCTTTCATAGTTAAGTATAATTATTATTACAGAAGTCTCATACTATCTTCATATAAACCACATAGAAAAGTGAGGTTTCAAAAAGTAGTATTGAGAAGGTACCTGTGGTAACATGAAGTCGAGCATCTGTATATGCTTGCGGATAGATTTAAAATCGTAGACTACAATGGTTAGTGCGGGACTGAATCTTCTATTCATCATGAACTCTATATTTATATACTGGGGGTAGAGTTACGATTCATTGGTGTCGATATCAATGTGGATGGGAAGTCTTTATATTTCTGTATCGATGTCTACTAAAGAAATATCAACTGACTGCGTAAAAAGAAAATATGATCATTAAAACTGATTTCATATTTTTCTCAGTCGTGTTTCATACGTAAATTATACGAATGTGATGTGTGCATCACTTAATAGACTTCCTTCTATTTTCGGAATTATTCTAATAAGTTATGCAGTGTAATGAAACAAACAACAGCAAATAGATAAAAAAAAAAGAAAAGACGATGACTTACGGATTTACTGATCAAGCTTCGTAGTGTGTGTATGAAATACTTAATTTATTCGGTTTCTTTTAGTATATTGTTGTTTGCTTTTGCAGCAACATATTTTATATGCTTCTCCTCTCCTGTTATGACGTTGATTTTTTCGTTCTTTTCCTTTTATAATATATTCGAAGACAAACGAGTCTATACTACTTTCATGCAGAAAATTACATACTATGACATGTGCAAACGCAACCATGTGCATGAGAAATTCAGGTATGGTGAATATTGTACATAAAACAAAAAATACGTGTATACTTCAAAAAATATTTCGAAAGGAAAGTAAAATGTATGTTAGAAAAAAGAAATAATTCTTTATTTCAAAGTGTGTAATATTTAGTGTCCATATTTTTAGAAAAACAAACAAAAAACAAAAAACTTCGACAATTATTTTCATCTTCAATTGATGCCAAGTTATTCTAATCGTGCATACTCATCGTTATCGGTATCAAGTTAATTGTTTTTTTTGAAAAAGAAGCAGTTTAATGATATTAAGATACTAAAAAGATTCAATAAACAGATTTCCCAACGGATAATAAAAAAATATCGATTAAAATAGATTTCGTATAGACTAATGAACAAAAATCAATGGAAACACTATTCGATCGAAATTCATTATTTTATTCTAATCAATTAAAATCATGGTTTTATCTTAATAGATTAAAATTGATTTTCTTTTGGAAAATCCCGAAGATGAATGAGAAATCTGTCGTTAGAGTTCAACCATAGTGGATTAACGTTGATTAGTCCTTTAATCGATGACTCAGATTTCGCCTTGAAAAGAACATTTGAATAGATTAATTTGAGAGATCAATTGTAATTCATACAATTTTTAGTGATTTATGGTAGTTTGAACAAAAAAAAACCTGTTAGTGTAATCCATTGCAGAATTATAAATATAAAACACATTATACTCATCGCTACCAAACCCATAAATACTATTCTGTTTGTGACTTTTAGAACCTATTTATTTCTTAGTACTAAATCTATGACTTATAATGTCTTAAGATAATTACTCAAATATAAGACCTCTCGTAATCATTAGCAGCTATCTAATACACTCGCTGATCTCCCTACAGATTCTCTGCTATGAAATGTAATGGATGTCTGACCTGTGTGTCAACGAAATACACTCTTCACCCAATGACACATTATCGAAATACAGTTCGTCGAATCGAAGCTTTCATAAAAGCTTGTTCATATGAAATCTCTATTTATCTCGGCGATCTTAATTTTCGATGATGAAGCATACAATCTGTGTGTCACGGCCTGAAGCTGGCAGAAAGGGAAGGGGAAGCAAATTCTTACTCTATACAATTCAACACTCCTTCCAGATCGAGATTTTCAAGAACTGCTTCTATAGCATGTATCCTATGTAAAATTAAAAACGCAGAAAGTCTGATTAAAATTGATTAAAAGTTGTACATTTTGATTAAATTCAAAGTGAGAATTGATTGAATAAAAGTAACTGCGCAATCTTAACTGAAACAATTTAAATACCAGTTCTAAATTTATAATATTTGTAGAAATGAAATCTGTTTATAAATCTCTAGTGAAGAATCGAAAAAAGTCATCAAAAAATCATATACGTCAAATCTGAAACTTGAATTCAACTATTGAATAGTTGCAGTTCAATTATTCAAGTATTCGTTTTTCGTGACAAAAGGAGTTTCCTGAAAGACGATATTCATATGACTGCACGCACACGTTACGCTACGGAGTGTGGGTGCGAAGAGGAGAGTTTCATGAAAGACTACGTTCATATCATTACAAGCACACGAAAACCGAATAGTTGAATACTTGAATAATTGAACTTTCACTATTCCAAAAAGTAGGGTTTCACATTCGAATCTGAACGAAAGCGCTTTTCTTTTATATTAACGACTAAAATCGATGGAAAAGTAAGCATCGATTGTAATCAATGCAATAATCGTAATGATGAATCAAAGTGTATAATCACCAATAATAGTTTAAGAGTGATTTCAGCAGATTCAAGTTCAATTCAGAAAAATTGGAGTCTGGGTGTGTGGATGTGAGCAAACATGAAGAGTTACCAAACCCACACTCACATTCACACCCCACACCTACACCCACCCACAGCCACGATCTATCTTTATAATCTGAAATTAACTTCATCAAGAAACGTCTACATCC